GGCAGAGGAATTGCTTGAACCCGGGCAAGCTGAGGTGCCCAGCTGAGCCGGCGATCGCTGTGGCCACTGCACTCCATTTCCTGGGCAACCCAGAACAGAGACTCCGGCAGTGCGCGACAGAAGCAGAAAAAAACACAAAACAAGAGGAATGGTCCATGAGCAGCAGAACAGGGAGCCGGCCCCGCTGATAAGAGGACTAATGAAAAGTGTACCGATGAGCTATTCTTTCAGTGGCGAATCTCTTGCGCAGTCCACAGAGGTGTACCATAACCAGAGTGCGTTAATTTACGTGAAGATCGAGTCACAGAGCTTCTGGTGGATAAGAGTGTAGCCTCATGTGCACCTTCATGGCCATATGTCAGTCACCCAGTCACGCTGCAAACAGAGTTCAAGTTCTAAGAGTGTGCAGGGGTGGACCAACCTAATCGTTAATGGCGGATAATTACCTAAGTAGTGTTCTCCTGCCTCAGCCTCCCAAGTAGCTGGGATTACAGGTGTGCAACACCATGCTCGACTAATTTTTGTATATTTAGTAGAGATGGGGTTTCACCATGCTGGCCAGGCAGGTCTTGAACTCCTGACCTCAGGTGATCTACCCGCCTCGGCCTCCCAAAGTGCCGGGATTATAGGCATGAGCCTCCACACCTGGCCCTGTCTCAGAAATTCTATCAGTGGTTTTCACTTTTTCCCCTTCTGAGGTTTCCCTCAAAGAAAAAGAATTTTCAAGGATTGAATGAGAAACTTGAAAAGCCAAAAAGATGGAGAGCATGTTTAAGGTAACAGTACTAAGGTGTTTATTGACGGTTGTGAAGGGGCCTATGAAACACGGCCATCTAACAGTGGAGGTCACATGCTTCTTGTATTCTGATCACAACTTGGTGTTCCTCGCCTGTGGCAATAAGCCCGGGTATGACTTTTCTGTCTTTGGAGCCTGAATGAAGTGAAGACTTACTCTTTGTGGTCTAATTAGATTTTGAAGGCATGTGGCATGAGTCCAAATCCCAAAGTTAGCTTGATACAGTTTATTTATGAAAACTTGCTCCAACTGAGAAGAATTCATATTGGACAAGATCTCACTTTCCAGGGCAGACATTTTTTCTCTAAGTATATATTTGGAGTGTATCTGAGGATGTAGACTCTCAGTCCACCCCACTTACACTCACAGATCTGTGGGCGAGTATTGAGCAGGAATGTGACAGATATTATATGGGGCTTCTTTTGGTGCTACCTGCTACTAAGCTATGTTAGTATCAGCTGTGAGACAAATGCTTTGTAATGAAGCACATTTATCCTGTGTCTGCTTTCTGTCTTCTTCTAATCAGAGAATCAGAGGTGAATTTTTATAGAAATCTTTCGTGGCCCAACCAGAAAGATGTAATTAAAAACAGTTGGAAAAAAAATTGAAATTTATTGCTATTTTTCCTTTTTCTTTTAAAATTTTTCTTTTTTCTTTTTTTCCTTTTCTTTTCGAGACAAGGTCTCTGTTGCTCAGGCTGGAGTGTGATCATGGTTCACTGCAGCCTTCAACTACTAGGCTCAAGCGATCCTCCCACCGCAGCCTTCTGAGTAACTAGGACTACAGATGCACCATGCTTGACTAATTAAAAAAATTTTTTTTAAATTTTGTTTTAAATTTTATGTTAAACTATGTTGCCCAGGATGGGCTCTAACTCCTAGCCTCAAGCAGTCCTCCTGCCTTTGCCTCCCAAAGTGCTGGGTTTATAGATATGAGCTACTGTGCTCAACCTACTCTTCCTTTTTAAAATCACTATTATTTCTTTGTAGTGAAATTATGTATGAGGAGGTTTGTAATTTAAACTAATAGTCTAGTCTTCAGCTCTATAAGTAAATACAAAACCATATGGTATTTTGGTGATTTGGGTAAGTATTCCTCCCTCGTTAGCTTTGAATCAAATAATATGTTGTCTAGTTCATTCAGGGAGCTCACTGAGTGCTCATTGTGGTCTGGTACGGTGGGCAGTGCTGGCAAGACAGAGAAAAAAGTATAACACAGAGAGAGCTATGTATACACCAGATTTTAATGCATGTGATAAAGCTGATAGGTCTGTGCTTTGTACTCTGGCAGTCAAGGAAGTTTCCATTTACTCTGGTGGGCAAATCTGGGTAAGTTTTACAGAGAAGGTACCCATGAGTTTTGTGTTTACAAGTTTGCTCCGTAAAGGTTGGGAACAGGCAGTCTAGGCAGATGTCCAGCAGGAGAGAACAATGGGGAGGCATGTGCACTGGGTGCTGTGATGCTAGAGATGGCTGGGAATGGTAGGAGCCTGGAGACTGGCTCGGGAGTTTGGGGCTTTATTCTGTATGGGAAAGGAGCCATTGAAAATGTTTAAACAAGACAGTGACTTGCAATAAAAGTGTTATTCTTCCCCAAAACCACATGCTTTTCCCCCATGAAACCCAGCAAGATTCATTAAAGTAAGAAACAAAAAGTGGCTGTGTCTGTTTCTCAAGCACAATTTATTTTCCCTTTCCTTTTTCTTTCTCTGTATTATTTAGTGTAAAGATTATCAGGAGTCAACAAAGCTCGTGACTTTTTCCCCCAAGGCATTGTATTGTATCGTACGTTATTTGGCAGATGTTGGAATAATGAATGCTACTTTCCTTGCGTTCATTTATTGGTCAGCCAACCGTTGCATTTTTCACAGTCCTTTCCCTCAAGGAAATTAAACTGTTATTTTTATCTTTAAATCTGTATGTTTATCTGTTTTCAAACACTAGAAAGTCTCAAGAATGTGTTAGTCTTATTTGACACTTCTTTTGGTTAAAAAAAATCAAATTGTCTCTATTTTCTAGGCTTACCAAGAGACTAAAGAGTGAATCCCTGAAATCCGACTTTACAATAGATTTAAAACATGAGGTATGTCATGTTTCGTTTGATTAAAAGTCCTAGTAATCAAGAATTCACGTCCTTCGATGTAAAAGGTGTTTTGCATTCCCTAATCGTGTAGTTTCCCCACCCACATCTACTCCCCACAGAGATAATTTCACAACACTCCAGTGAATTAGTTGCTTGTATTTTAAGCTCATTTCAGTTATGTAGGTGAAGACAGAACAGTGAAAAAGGTTGCATCTTGTGATTCATGATTCTTTACTTTTAAGCTAGATGGATGGGTCCAGAGGTAGATTTTTAAAAACATGCAAAAATGTCATTAGAAGTACTCTGCTCTTACGTGGTGCTTCGGTTGTACATATGCCAGTATGGATTAAATGATCATGCCCCCCCACGCCCAATTCATACCTTGAAACCTGAGCGCCAGTGAAATAGTCTTTGGAAGTAGACCTGTGGGAGGTGACAGGGGCATAAGAGTGGAGCCCTCATGAATGGGATTGGCACTTTTATAAAAGAGGCCCCAGGGAGCTTCCTTGCCCTTTCTGCCATGTGAGGACACAGCTAGAAGGTGCCATCCATGAACCAGGAAGCAGGCCCTCACCACTGAATCTGCCAGTCCCTTAATCTTAGACTTCCCAGCCCCTAGAACCGTGAGAAACAAATTTATCGTTTAGACGCCACTCAGTCTATGGACATTCCTTTTCCCCCCACCCTCCAGTTTGAAAATCTTTAGCTTTAAACCAGATAGCAAATTTACCTTGATGTTGATTGTAATTACTGATATATTTGATTTCTATCACTTTATTTTGTGCCCCTCTCCTTATTTTCTATTTTTCTTTTCTTTTCTTTTCTTTTTTTTTTTTTTTTTGAGACGGAGTCTCGCTCTGTCACCCAGGCTGGAGTGCAGTGGCGCCATCTCAGCTCACTGCAACCTCCTCCTCCCTGGTTCAAGCAGTTCTCTGCCTCAGCCTCCTGAGTAACTGGGATTACAGGCGCCTGCCACCACGCCCGGCTAATTTTTTTTGTATTTTTAGTAGAGACAGGGTTTCACCATCTTAGCCAGGCTGGTCTTGAACTCCTGACCTCGTAATCTGCCACCTCGGCCTCCCAAAAGTGCTGGGATTACAGGAGTGAGCCACCGTGTCCAGCCCCTCTACTTTTCTATTTAAAGTTCCCTTGTCTTCTTATTTATTTATTTATTTATTAGTCCATATTTTTTCTTGTCTGCTATTTTAGAAGTTCAATCTGTCTGTACTTTACTGGTTATTTTAAATATTTTAACATGCATTCTTAACCTAAACAATGGTTTATTAATTAACAGCCAGAAAATTTGAGGGCCTTAGGATACTTTAACTCTGATTATCCACTCCCAACTTATATGCAATTGTTTGTTCAATGTATTTGTCCCTTTTTCTTTTTACCCTGGAAACTTAGATATTATCATTATTTTATGCAGTTAACATTGGTATTAACTCGTCATATATTTGCCATGTTTTTTGCTTATCATTCCATCTTGTGTCTTACGCCTTCCGATTGAATCATTTTTTATTCCTCCTGAAGTGTATCCTTTAGAATTTCTTTTAGTGAGGTGGTAAATCTTCTCTCAATATTTTTTCTTTACACATATTATTTCAACTTTGTTTTTGAAGCATACTTACATCATGTAGATGATTCTAGGTTGCCAGTCATTTTCTGTCATCACAAGTTTTATTGAATTCTTTTTTCTTTCTTTTTTTTTTTTTTTTTCTGAGATAGAGTCTCTCTTATTCTGTCACCCAGGCTGGAGTGCAGTGGTGTGATCTCAGTTCACTGCAACCTCCGTCTCCTGAGTTCAAGCAATTCTTCCGCCTCGGACTCCTGAGTAACTGGGTCTACAGGTGTGCACCACCACGACCAGCTAATTTTTGTATTTTTAAGTAAAGATGGGGTTTCACCATATTGGACAGGCTGGTCTCAAACTCCTGACATGACTCCAAGATCAGGCCTCCCAAAGTGCTGGGATTACAGGCGTCAGCCACCACACCCAGCCTCAGTTATTTTTCAGATGTGCTTACTTATTTTGTGTAATCTTTTTAAAATAATCTTTTCTCATGTTTTAAAGTTTTTCTTTATAAAAATATATTAAGCATAGTAATTTTATAATCTGTTTGATAATTCTGATATCTGAAGTTTTTTGAGTCTGATTAAATTATGTCTGCTGGCTCTTGTTCATTATCTTATTTCTTTTTTGTGTGTGATTTTTGTTTTTTTCCTCTGAGTGATTGTTCTGTAAGCACCCTTGTTCCTTTAGAAAAATCCCCTGAGCCTTCTATTAAGGTTGTGGTTCCTTAGTAAGGATTTACATTAGCTTCTGCCTGTTGCTAATGAGTTATACTGACTTGAGATAATTTAGATTATCAGTTTGACGTGTTTTGGGACCTCATAGTGGCACAATTTGAGGAGGCCTGGCTTTTGCTTACAAAATCTAAGAGGAGATTTAGCGATGATTCTTTTCCCTCCGTTTAGACCCGTGGTCCTAGCTTTATGTATGGGATTGCTGTTAGTCACACCCCACCTTGGGTGGGTCATAGCCTTCAGTCTCTTCACTCCTATCAGAAACTCAGCCTTGCCAGAGGTCAGCTGATACCTACTAGGGAAAACTACCCTTGGTGCCCTTTTTTCCCCAGGATCTCACTTTCCCATTTTTTTCCTCACAGATTCCACATTTTTGTGCCAACTTAGCAATACATTTAAATATTTAAGGGCATTTTACCCAGCATTTTTAGATGTTTTAAGCAAGCTGAGTATTCGGGGTATGTAATTACCATACTAAGGAAACTGGAGCCGTAATAATATTTTCTTACATCTCTCTGTGATGTTGTAGAATGTGTTCTTTCCTAAAACCGCATACCTTGGAATTTTTTGGCGGTCAGAATATTGATTCATAGTTAATTGCTTATTGTTAGTAATAGAATACATTTATTCACATGGAATTGTCATTTTTTTAAGTTTAAAAAGTCCCATTGAATACTGACAAATTGATATGGTTCAACCTACTCTCTATGGAAGGTGTCTTCTGCTTTCCCTTGAGATCTTTTGTCCCTTCTTTTACTTGTGTTGACTGAGTTCTTTCGTCACTGCCTGTCTCCTGTCTTGTGGCAGATTGCCCTCTACATCTGGGACAAAGGCGGAGGACCTCCCCTGACCCCAGTGCCTGAGTTTTGTACAGATGACGTGGACTTCTACTGTGCTACCACGTTCCATTCTTCTCTACCACTTTGTGTAAGTAACAGAAGAAAAACTTCTTTGCATATCAAAGGAAAAATTTAGATGCTGTGCATAATGTCATCCTAGCACTTTAAAATAAATTTTAGATTCAGGGCATTCATGTGCAAGTTTGTTACAAGGGTATATTGCATGATGCTAAGGTTTGGGCTTCTACTGATTCTATCACCCAAATAGTGAACATGGTACCCAATAGGAAGTTTTCAAACCTTGGTCTTCTTCCTTCCTCACCTTTTTAGAGTCCCCAATGTCTGTTGTTCCTATTTTTGTTTGTGTGTACCCAGTGTTGAGCTCCCACTTGTAAGTGAAAACATGCATGCAGTGTTTGGTTTTCTGTTTCTGCATTAATTCGCGTAGGATAGTGGCCCCCAGCTGCATCCATGTTGCTGCAAGTACATTATTTCATTCTTTCTTATGGCTGCATAGTATTCCTTGGTGTATCTGTACCACATTTTCTTTATTCAATCCACCATTAATGGGCACCTTCACTGATTCCATGTCTTTGCTATTGTGACTAGTGCTGCACTAGCACTTTACATCTAAAAAGAAAATCAACATTTTCCCTGTGCCGGGTAAGAACTATATATCATGACTCTAGTAATAACAGTCATACAAGGTTAGTATTATTGTAACTCCATCTTACAAATGAGAAGAGAGAGGCGCAGAGAAGCCAAGTGCTTGTTTATGACTACGTAGCTAGTAGGGAGGGAAGCAGGGGTTCTGATGGGCTCCCCTTTATCCAGAGCCTTTGTGAAGGACTGCCCATCATAGTGCTTTAGGGTTAGTGTGCCCACAGTCATTTCTCTTGTTGATGATGTAGGATGCATTGATTGGAATTTCTGTTCCATTTCCTGGAAAGGCCATTTCCAGTACTTTCTGTGACACCTAAGCCTTCTCCACAAGCCTGCACCCTTTACTGTCTCAGCAGGTGGCTCTGCCTTTCATCTCACTGACAGCCATCCAGAACTTTCCGAATGAATTCACTTGTGTTGGCAGACCCAAGGTCCAGCCCCAGTATGAGCCTGGAGACCCTGACACTCACTAGGTTGTTAACTGCTTTTCTCGTAAGAAAAAATATGTTCACCAACCTCAAATGTTGTCGTTATTCTCAAGTCAGTCACACAGAAGTCTGTGTGTGCCATTTTAAGAGATAAATACATAGACACACACACACACACACACACCCCAAAACACAGTGCAGCACTGAGAGAGAATCTGTAATGTGTTTGCAGTTCCAGAGGCGGGGACCAGTCTTTCCAGGCAGAATGCTTGCTTGCTCTTTCAGTGCTCTCCTAGTGCCTTGAGTGACATGACAAAGCTGTAGTTAGATGTCACTGTAAACCAGCCGCAAATTATGTAGGAGTCATGATTGAATATGATTGCAGGCCTAAGACAGGTAATAAAGGGGTCTGGAAGGGCTTGGGTGTGCCTTGTTGACAGATCCCTCTTGGCGCTCCCTTTCATCTGTGTGATCATCCTGGGCTCCAGGACTGCCCCCACCCCACCTTCACCAGGTGTTTGAAGGAATCCTACCTTTGGCAGAGGAGAAAACATCCTTAGCCTAGACTTGGGTCACCAGTAAAGAGGCTGCTGTAAAAATGTTTTCAACATTAAAGTAAGGCCAGGCCCAGAAAAGGGCAACATCTCTTATTTTACACTAAAAAATCCTCCTGTTTCTCTCTTTTTGTCAAAATCTTCACCAGCTGGAGAAAGGAAATGAGAGATAACTAACATTTACTGGTCACTTACTATGTGCTTAAAAAATTATAGTAATAATAGCAGCCTTGTGGTGGTTATTATTTTTTTTTTTCTAAACAAGCCGACTGAAATTCTGAGAGCTTAAGAAACTTGTTAAGGGGATGCACAGTCCATGCACGGTGGAGCATGCAGGTCCAGGGCTGGCTGACAGAAAGGCTGTATTGTCAGCTGCCCTATGTTTCCATTTCTCCCCTAAAACTTCGTCCCGGATATGTTTGATATCCTTGACATTGGTTAATTTGAACTCTAGAGCATGTGAGATCTAATGTGGGTGTGAAGTTAACGCTGACTCACATATGCATATATTTTTTCTTTTCTTTTTTTTAGGGAAAGCCAGTGAAGAAGGAGGATATTTTTGTTGCAGTAAAAACATGCAAGAAATTTCATGGTGACAGAAGTATGTTTTGGGTTATTCATTTTATCGAACGCTAAAATCCAAACTACCTTTTAAAAAAAAGTACGAATGAATTCTTGAGTGTAAATTCAGGAAAGGGATAATGACAATCCGGATGTTGAGGTGAAAGCAGTTATTTAATCAGTATTCCTCATTGCACCATTTCAATCACCAAGATCAATTAGGAAGGAAAATTTTGTACTGAAACATGAGTGGTCGTGGCCGATACTGTTTCTAGCAGTATTTTAAATTGGAAATGGAAAAGCTCAGTGTGACAGTCTTGGAGACTGTGTGAAAAACAATCCATTTTTGTCAAACAACGTATTAGGTTCAAACAACATATTAGGTCTGTGCGCAGTCTCTAAACGGGATGAAGAATGTCAAGAGGGGATTTCAAGGTAACAGCATGCCAACAGGGAATACTTTTTCTTTTTTTTTCAATTTATTTCAAATGCTTACCTTGGAACTTGTTAGTTAAGAGATGTATTTGCTCATGAGTAGATAATATTGGAGAAGAAGAAAAAGCCGCTGTACAAACAGTGAATCTCTTCTTAAGGAAATCCTGGCATGCAGATTAATGTTGTTTTTATTCAGGTTTTTGATGTCATTACAGAATTCTGCTAAGTTGTGATGATAATGTAAAAAAAAAAAGCCCATCCTAAATATAAATAGACATAATTTCTCTCTTTTTGCACCTTATTTCAAGCAACACTTTTCTGAAATTGAAAATTAGGCAGTCTTTTGCATTTTCTAATTTTAGTGCATATTTTATTTTTTTTTTCTCATGAAAAGACTGTCGATTTCACCAAGAATGTGATATTTATGTAGGAGAGATTTCTAAACCAACTGTCATTTTCATGGGATTGGAACTACTGAGGAAGTTCATTTATGTATTTCATGTGATAATATGAGACATACAAATTATATTTTAAAGGGGAAGATGTTTTCCAAATAAAATAATATTGTAATTTGAGATTATAGTATTGTCTAAGACATCAACATCAATTAAAATCCAGCTATAATCAATTATATCTTAAAAATACATTAACTATAAACCTTCGTATTTGCCTAAAATAGCCACATTAAATTCCAAATCCTATTAAATCAGCCTAAGTGAATATATACATTTGTTATGCAACGAGTCCTAAGATACTATGAAGAATCAATATAGCAGTTACAATTTTCTATCATAAATTTAACCTAAATTTAATATCCTTTTTACTTTTTTCATAATATGGAAGGGTTTTTTGGGATTATTTTGACAAATACCTTCTTTAAATAGGTATTGGGGAAATGAACTATACTGCTTTTTGTTTTATTTCTTTTACAGCAAACAGGAACTGTTTGAGTTGATTTAATTGATCTTGAAGCTACACTTGGAGTAGTGATTATTTTCACAATATGAATGTTAAGGATGGTGGTGCTGGTACTTTTTCTTTGAAACACATTTTTCAGGTCACAGTGACGCAGTAAAATTAGGGACACTCCCTTTTGTATTTTTTATATTCTACAGAAATGAAAAAAAATAGTTTGTTAATTTTGATTTAGTAATTTTGAATCTAGTTTACTGCTTTCTTATTTTGTGTAAGTTTGAGATACTCTTTTTAGATATTCATGAAATCCTTTTCTATTTGAATTTTGACTCAAAAGTCTTTAAAAATTACAAAATCTTAAAAGCCTGCTAGGAGCATTAGAAACAAACCTTCCAAAGCCAGATACATTGATTTACTGCTGTTAATTTGAATCTGGTATCACTGAAGCATGAGGCCTAAAATATATCATGAAGTTTTCATATTTGGGTTTCTGTGGTAAACCATTTTGCAACTTGGATATGTTTGTTTGAAAAGATAGTCTAAGGCAACAGGATTTCAGTGACTTTGAAGTCCATTTTGCATGACTTCATGTAGCCTGCCAGGCCACTGGGCTCTGCCCCTCATTTTAGAAGCCTAGTCCAGCCACCAGTTGGCCCAAAGAGTTATCCAGTAATATCGGTTACAAGGATAACACCACACTAACTGCCTCTAACTGCTAATATTTTTTACATTTTCTGGTGTGTTTTTCACATATGTTCTCTCATCTAATTTCATGTTGACACTTCCTTGTGATATGATAATTATTGTTATTCACTTGTTGTAGAAAAAGCTGAGTATGGAATGATACACAACTGGCCCAGTTTCTTGTATCTTATTGAGTAGCAGAGCCAAGAACTTAGGTTTTCTGGCTCCTAAATCCCACTTTTTTCTTCTACCACAGCACAGCTATACTGTAATCTCCTTGGATGTATTACAAACTCAATACTTGATAAATAGTCTTTGGTGTTCACATTGATGTCCTGCTACGCTCAAGGTCAGTTTTGACTTGGCCAGAAGCTGCGAAAGTAGGCTTTCCATTTTTAGTGGCAATGGGTATGGCAAGGAATTGAAACCCACACAGGATCTGAAATACAAATTGAGCTGAGAATGTAAGACTGCCACTCCTGTCTAAGCATGTCACTGCTATAGTCAGGCAGAACACATGGTCTGGGGTGTTGGTTTTTTTTTTTTTTTTCATTTTCCTTTCCCTGTGCGCTCTATGGTAGAAATACTTTAGTCATAAAGGCCAAATGATGAAGGAAAAAAAATCTAGAGAAACTGTGCTTGTCTTTGCCAAGTTGAGAGTGGGCTGTACTGTTACTTGTGGGCACAGTGTCCCCTGGCACTGAGTGGTGGTGGCCCCCACTCCTGGCTCATTATAGTGTTGGTTACCTTCCGGGGTGAGAAGGAGAGACAGAACGTGTTGTGTTCAAGGCCCTAGTCACAGCAAGGGAAAATACAGATTGCATTCATTTTTTATACTCTCATGGAAGAACTGGTAATAAAACCAAGTTTCAAAATGAAAAGAAATATTTTAAACATTGTACTTTCTTTGCTTAACAATGACACATTTATGTAATTGCTTTTGTCTGGATTCTGACTTAAGTAAAACATAGCATTCTTAGAACACAAAGCAAAACTATATTCTGTCTTTTGACTCAAGGAAGTAATCCATATTGACATAGTTGAAACAGCAACACCCTCTGAGAGGCAAGCATTTAGTAGGGTTTTAAAGAAACTTGGGAACGATTACATAAGGTGATGAATTGGGCATAGCATGTAAAATGATATTTAAGCAAGGAAATGATCTCTGATGTTTTAATATTCAGCTTGATTGCTTCGTCTTGGGTTCTGTGTTTCCCACTGTGGGACGTGAGCTGTCAGAAAACCTTAAGAATTTTCTTTGGATCATTTTGCCATGCAGTTTGCGTGCATGTCTCATGTACCCCGTGGCAGCCACTGGTTTTGTTCATCAAATGGTGGGTGGTGGGACACTCTCCTGCAGTCTGCCTCTAATTAAAGAGGTTAAATTGCCATTTGCTCAGCCTTTAGTTCCTTTCCATAGCTTCCTGAGCTCTTAAAAATTAGCACTATATTCCTTTCAGATTGAAAAAAAAAACTGTTTGCTATCTTTACTGCTGTCGTCTTGTCTAGAGGCAAATCTGAACAAACTGATTGAAAGGGGTGTTAGGAGGCTGGTGTTCTCTCTGACTGAAGAGGCTTACACGTACTGTGGTACAATCTGCTTACTTAAAAGGCGAGGCTTGAATTAGAATACAGCAGATAGAAGGCCAGACTCTAATCAAATGAGGTGATTAGATCAATGACTGAAGAGAGGAGAGGAGTCAGGTGTTGCCTTTCCCTGGCTGTTGAACAGCTGATGTTCCAGATGGCCCTACAATGTTGTGTTAGGTCATCAGGAGGGATACTTTTCAGGCTTAGGTACACCTTAGTCTTTAAAATGAGGAATTAGAACACACTCGTGTGTGTGTCCCTAATCTGCTCCTGAGAAGTGCAATCAGGGTCTGATTTTGTGGCCACTGACTTGCATACTGAGACAAAAGGGCCTTCTGCAAGCTGAAAATAGTGGATTCCTTAAAATAAAAACTATTCACATTCGATGGTGTGGTAGTTTTAATAAAATGTTCAAGTGTCAAGTTCATTTTCATTTATAACCTGAGACAGCTTTACAAGTCACTTCCCTGGGGGTAAAAATGCATGTTCTGTCCTCACAGTGAGACACATCTTCTGCTTCGAGTCTAGAAAGCTCTAAGAAAGATTTATGCCATCTGTGCAGCTGGCATTTTGATAGTAAAATTTTTTTACTTTGCTCCAAGTTTAAGTTATCTCGTGACAAACTTTCTTGAAGGAGGCATTCACTATTATGTGATAGGAAGTAGGCTTCTTTATTGAAAAGGAGATAATGTGTCAGGTAACTTATTAAAGTATGTTCTCAAAGTTTAATATCTTTAGGAATACAGTGCCTCAATACAATATAAAATATTTTGTAAACAATAGAATGAATTCATTTTAGAATTTAAATGATGCTAATAAAATAGGCCATTATTTTAAAAGTTTAATTTAGAATCAACCGTGGTTGAAAATAAAGCCTTAAGCTGTTTTTTTGGAAGACTTTAAATCCTTTACGGCTAAGAGATATGACAGACACATGGAGGTTGTATTGACAAGGGGAGAGATGTACAAACTGTTGAATGCTTTAGGTGTTATAGAATCATAATATCTCAGTATATTTAAATGGTTGGCTTGTTTTAAAATGATTAATCAAAGGCTGAATTGCCTTTATGAATAAAACCTTCCTTTAACAAGTTTCCACAAATAATCCTGGGCCTTTTATTGAAATGCCTACAACATTCAGTCCTCATTCAACTATTTATTGAGTACCTACTATGTACTAGGCACTGTGCCACGTGTTGGGAAATGAGTCATACACACATTAACTCTTACCTTTAGTGTAAGTTACTGTTTTTTTTTTTTTTTGAAACGGAGTCTTGCTGTGTTTGCCCAGGCTGGAGTGCAGTGGCGGAATCTCAGCTCACTGCAAGCTCTGCCCTCCTGGGTTTTACACCATTATCTCCTCAGCCTCCCAAAGTAGCTGGGACTACCAGGCGCCGCCACCTCGCCTGGCTAGTTTTTTGTATTTTTTAGTAGAGATGGGGTTTCACAGTGTTAGCCAGGTTGGTCTCCATCTCCTGACCTCGTGATCTGCCGCTCGGCCTCCCAAAGTGCTGGGATTACAGGCTTGAGCCCCCGTGCCCGGCCCTTTAGTGTAATTTCTATTTTACCTGTTTCAAAGTAAAAGAGAAAGCAAAACTGCTAATTCACCCTTGATTTTGATTTTAATTTTATTTAAATCCGTTAATTGAGAAGAAACACCTGTGCTGTTTAATAAACCTATTAGAGCAAAAAAGGACTGAAGGCCTAAAGGCTGAGGAAATTGAAAGCAAAATTCACACAGCCTGCAGGGCCCTTGCTGGGGGACTGAGGAAAGTTCTTGACCTTTCCTCACAGCTTCTTCCAGCATTATGCAGCGGAGGATATTTTACCCAGCAGTGTGAACTTTTAGTGGCTGCAAGCTGCAGGGAGCCCTTTCTGGGGTAAGTTCTGTTGCTTATTATATGCAAAGCAAACTGCCACAGCAGTGCCAAGGTTAACATTTTTGTTGTGCTGAAATTTGGAAGTAGAACAGAGTAAAATTTTTTAAAATTTCTTTTTTCCTTTTTTTGTCCCCCAGTAGCCCTATCTTTTATTTAGTACATCTTTGACCATTTTGACATGTAGAAACCTTTAGAACTATCTGCTTTTTTATGGTTGTGGAAAAATTATATTTTAATATATGAAAATAATATTTAACAGGTAATTTGGTAATAATTTAGTAGATGTGCTGAACTCAGTTTTTTTTTTTTTAAAAAAAGCCAATGAATGAGAGATTATGAAATGATGCACTCTCGTATTTTCTATTTAAGGGCCGTCTGAACTGGACTCAGAATTTGCTTACTTACTAGCTAAACACTTAAATTTTACATTGAAACATCAGTTTTTGCATTTATTTCTATTTGAGTTGGGAACAGGGGAAAGATACATGGTCTGATAAAGCTTCTCAAAAGTTAAGTGAAGATTCGGTTCATCAGAGTTTTGATTCTTAAATTAACAGTATATAATATCTATATGATTTTTTTCTATTGAAAAAACAAACCACTTTTTAAAATTCAGAGATGCATAGGCAGTAATTTGTTTTTTAAGTATAGAAGAAAATAATTACTTGGTCAGGTGAATTAGTATCAAGTAGTGGTAAGGCTCTATGTCAGGTATGCAGACAGAGCTATCTTTGAGCATCCAAAGCAAAAATACAGAAAACCAGGACAGCTTTCTGTTGTGTTTGTGTTAAAACATTTAGCTGCTAATGATAGAATTTTAAAGCCTGTAGTAGTTTTGTATGTTATTACTTCCACATTTTTCAAAAGTACAACATCGTAATATCAGTCATCATATGCAGTGATTCTTATTTGGCAAGGTCATGCCCTTTGTAGGGTTGGGTGGTTCTTTAGAATCTTTGGGTGGGGACATGCATAGTTTGCAAAGGTCTTCCCATGCTCCATGGTAAGAGGGATGGATTTTCTCTTACCATGCTCCATGGTAAAAGAAAAATTAGTTAACATTAATGTAAACAAAAATAGCATAATCAAACTAGAAAATTGGTCAGTATATGGAAGTAAGTGCATTCATCACCAGGAATGAGAAATGCTTTACTCTAGAGAATGTTGAAAATGCTTCAAGAAGAGGGTTTTAGTCAACAACGTTGGCATTTCTCAGGATTGGAAGCAAGCAACTCTTGGAACACCTGAAGAACAACAAATAATGTTTCTCTTCCTTTGTAGATGATTATACTGCCATTTTGAGTTTTTAAGCTTCCTTGTGTAACTGTGCCGGTGATTGTCATCTCTGTAATTTTTTCAGTACCTATTGTTAAGCAGACTTGGGAGAGCCAAACAAGTCTCATTGAATACTATAGTGACTATACTGAAAATTCCATTCCTACTGTGGATTTGGGAATTCCTAATACAGATAGAGGTGAGTCCATAATTCTTACTAGTCTCCTTATTAAACACCCCCATTCTGTAAATACAGTAAATTAGGTTAGGATAAAAATGAAATACTTTGTAAGTGCTATAATTTTTGCCTCATATTAGTTTTTTTCCCTTCTTCCCTCACGGATATAGATTGGTTCTTTCAAACTAAGGGCTTTATAGTACAAAGTGTTGCAGGTGTTTAGTAGACTGCATCCTATAATTGAGCACATGATAGTTCCAACAGAATTTAACAATAGATTTTTCATACCTTCATAATTCTTTGTGGTCATGATGGGGTGCTTAAAGTTGATTTGTCATATTCCCACACAAAGCTTCTATCCTTGTCAGTATTATAGTCTAGTTCACATATTATATTACCTGTGAGTGCCACCTAATCACATTCTACACTAGTTATATGTAGAATAAACTCTATTCTATATGTTAAGATTTTAATTAGTAAATTGTTGGAAATAAACCTGCTTTTCTCTTCAAATTGCAGGCTTTCTAATTAAAAACACTTTTTAGGATGCAGAGAGTGGAATGGTAGACATTGGAGACTCCAAAAGGTGTGGGAAAGTAGAAGAGGGGTGAGGGATGAGAAATTACCCACTGGGTACGATAGACACTCTTCGGGTGATGGCTTCACCAAAAGCCCAGACTTCACCACTGTGCAATATGCCCATGTTACAAAACTGCACTTGTACCTCTTCAATCTATAAAAATTTTAAAAAATTGTGTCAAAAATGGAAGTGTAAATCTGGCCACCTCATCTTCAAATAGTCTTTATTCATCTTAAGTTTTATCCAGTATTTCTGCCACCCTTTTTTCTTTATTTTTTTGTTCCCCACGCCCTTTTATGAGTAAAGAAAAGAAGTAGCAAACTGATTATGTTCTATACAATTTATCTTAATTATTTTATGTTAGTGTCACTCATAATTCTTTCATTAATATAGTACAGTGTAGAATCAGATATGCCATTTCTGTAGTTACCAGTTCTTCTGACAAGGTTAAGTGTATTACTGAGTCTGTCTGTTGCTGTTTGATTAGGAAAAACTGTTTTAGATTGGGTTTAATAATCATGTATTTACGTATACCTTCCTTATTTGATTTCTTCATTTCTAGTCTGACCTTATTGCCTATATGTATATTTGTTCTAAAAGGGATTTGAGATGGCTTTCAAACATACATATTGTAATGGTTAAAAATACACAGAGATCAAGAGTAAAGAAAATAAAGGTCAAATTGAGTGGTTTGATAGTCATTAATATAAGTTAATATTTGTTCTCCACTGTGTCACCAAATAATTAAAATGAGGGGGCATATTCCTGTTTATCAATTTGACTGCTCTTCCCAAGTGTTTTATTTTGGTCCCAGCAGTTACCATTAAAGCATTGCAATTTATCTATTGGTATCCGAAGGACTGTTACTCTGTCTTACTCAGCACTGTATCCTTCAGTGCATATCTTAGTACCTGCCACAGTATCTGGCATATTAGAAACTTAGTGGTAGTAAATAGTTACAAAATAAATAGAGGTATAAGCGTCCACCTTTGCACTGCTGCTTCCCTGTGGCAGTGGTGCCTGGGGTTCTAACACCTCCTTCAGAATAAGCGTATCTAAGAAAGGATACCACTGCTCATTGCTGTGAGTCTTAAAACTTTCTTGCCCGGACTGAAGATGCTAATTCTATCTCTGCCTCAAATTATCTGTGTGACTGTGTAATTCCACTAATCTCTCTAAGTCTCCATTTCCTCGTGTGTGAAATGAATGACTTGACTTTCATTATCTCTAAAGTTCCTACTGGTTCAATGTGTCTGTGAAAATTAGAAAGGCTATTTTTAAAAATTTTGAACTTTTAAGCTGCATGTTGGTGTGTAAGCTCTTACAACACTGCAAAACTCAAAAGAAATTAATGAATTCTATATATTTTATAGGAAATAATACATTGTAAGTTTTTTCTTGCCTTTTTTAGGTCATTGTGGAAAGACATTTGCCATTGTAAGTTTTTTCTTGCCTTTTTTAGGTCATTGTGGAAAGACATTTGCCATATTGGAAAGATTTCTGAATCGTAGCCAGGACAAAACAGCATGGTTAGTCATTGTGGATGATGATACATTAATAAGGTAAGGAGTCATCCTCATCCTAAATGGCTTTAAATTCTACATATATTCATATTCAAAAAACTAGATGGTACTTTTTCTGGCCAAGATGAATTAACGGGGAGACAGGGTTTACCCTTTTATCTGAACCAACCCTCTAAAAGAACAAAATATATAAAACAAAGGTTTTTAAGATACTGAATATTAGGTGCAAAGGAAAATGATCTAAAAGAAACATGAAGCAAATGAGGTGAGTTCTGTGACTGCCACAGCTGACTGCCTTAAGAGAATTCCAAGTTACTGCTTAGGGAGGGAGCACCAGATGGAACCTGACAGACTCTGTGGGTGGAAAAGATGGAGACCAGAGTCTCAGGAGACCAAGGCTATTAGAGTTTGCAGGACAGAGTACCAGAGAAGGGAGAGCTATACAGAAAGGGAATACTGGAGATAGGTGAAGAGCCCCCTATGTATTCAGTAGAGTATTGATCAGTGCATATGTGTGAGGAAACTACCCGATGCTGGGGAAAGATCCAACCAGATTAGAGGGGATGGTTACTGACACTCACACAGGCCTGGGCTGGAAAACCCCCCTATTCATAAGGTATTGAAAAGAGTACGTAAAAGGGTCTTGCCTCAGTAGGGGGGATAGTTAACCCTAGACTAAGCACTTTCCTAGTCCTGCCTAACATATCTGAAAAGCAAGATACAAGAAAATGAAACTGTTTCTAAGTAATAGCCTGTGTCTGAGAACAAAACTCAGGAAGACTTACAGAAGTACAAAAATAACCAACATCTAATGAAGTAAAATTCATAATGTCTGCCATCCAATCAAAAGTTACCAGGCATATAAAGCAGCAGGAAAATACAGAAGTGAAAAAAAAAATAGCTTATTGAAATGGTTTCAGAATTTATACACGGTTAGAATTAGAAGTTGTTAAGCTGTTACTATTAAATAGTTATTATACTTCTGTTCCATGTGTTCAAAAAGACATGGAATGTCTCTTAGTCTTAAATAAGTTGAAATCATACCTCTAGAGATGAAAACTACATTCTTGATTGAGGTGAAAGACCCACTGGATGGGTTTCATAGCAAATCAGACATTTAAGAAGAAAGTATCAGTGAACTTGAAGACAGTGCAATAATAACTATCCAAAGTGAAACACCAAGATAAAAAATAATTTTAGAAAATTAACACCATCACTGAGCTGTGGGACAATTTCAGGTGGCCTTGAATATATACAATTGAAATCTCCAAAGAGAAGGGGCACATAAGTATTTAAAGAAATATTTTTCAAATTTAATGAAACTTGTAAACCCACAGATCCAAGAGTCTCAGTGAACCCCAGGCACACCATGAACACAAAAGCAGAGAACAGCCACCTCCAGGAATGCCATAATGGACACTTACAGCAGTACCCACTGCCCTGCTCTGGGCGGCTGTGGAATTGAGAACTAGCATGCTCAACCCATTGCAGCTACCTGCAACACCAACACGGACCTCTTGGGTCTCTGGGTTGCTCCACCACCACTGCTGCCATCATTCATATCATACCAGCTACTCAGGGGGCTGACAACTTGTCTACCCATCTAGCCCACTGCCCTCATTACTAGCTTCTAAGCAAGCAATTCACCTGCAGGCCCAAGAATCAACCATTCAGAACTCTGTAACACTGCAGCCAGCATAAGCTGCTCTAGGGCCTAAAAACACGCATATTCACCCTTCTGCTGCCACCACTGGGGCCCAAAGACTGACTCAGTTGGCATCCAAGTCCTCAGCAAAATTTCACAGCTTTGGCTACTAACCATACCCAAAGCCACTGAGGAAATTACACATACCGTGGACTGTGTGCTATTGAAAAAGTCACACAAAGACCACGCTACAACAGCACCAAAAATGAAAGCCAAGGTGTCTTACTTAACCAACAACATATATACATCTTCAGGAAAAATATTCTTCTCTGCAAAAGCAATTTTTAAAAATTGGAAAAACAGTACCAGATATGCAGATATCAATGGAAGGAAACAGGAAACATGAAAAAGCAGGAAAATATGATACCAGTAAAGGGCCACAACAATTTTCTAGGAACAGATCCCAATCAGTAAGAATTCCTTGAAATAACAGATAAAGAATTCAAAATATTGATTTTAAAGAACCTCATTGAGGTACAAGAGAAATGTGAAAACCAGTACAAAAATAAGAAAATGAATTCAAGATATGAATGAATGAGAGATATATCAAGGAGACAGATATCTTTAAAAAACCAAACAGATTCTGGAACTGAAAATTCATTAAAGAAAATACAAAATACATTTGAAAGCTTCAGTAACAGAGTAGACCAAACAGAAGGAGGAATTTCAAAACTTGACGACAGATCTTTTGAAATAATCCAGCCAGACAAAAATAAGGAAAAAATGAAAAAAAATGAAAACAGCCCTCAAGATGTCTGGGACTACACAAAATGACCAAACTTATGAATTATCAATATTTTTGAGGGGAAAGAGAGATCAAAAAGTTTAGAAATCCTACTGAAGGAAATAATTGATGAAAATATCCCAAATCTAGCAAAAGAGATGTTTAGATACAGGAGATCCAGTGATCTTCAGGTAAATACATTGAAAAAAGGACTTCACATGGCATATTAGGACTTCACATGGCATATTATATTCAGAATGTTTAAATTCAAGTGAAAGAAAGATCTTTAAAATTACAAGAGCAAAAGCATCAAGTCACGTATAAAGGACTAATAGTGGACTTTTCAGCAGAAATGTTATAGGCCAAAGAGAATGAGATGGCACTTTAGCCATCGTGCTAAAAGAAAGAAAGAAAGAAAAAAACTGTGAGCCAAGAATTTTATATCCTGCCGGAATAAGCCTTATAGATAAAGGAGAAATAATCTTTCCCAGACAAGGAAATGCTGAGGGAATTTGTCACCACTAGACTGGCCCTACAGGAAGTGCTCAAAGGGGTCTTGAACATGGAAACCACAGGTTGATACTATCATCCAAACACATGAAAATATAAAACTCACAGGTCTTATAAAACAGAGAATGGAATCAAATGGAAATCTGACAAAATTTCATCAAACCACAACAACAGAGAGAAAGAATGAATTTGTAAAACAACCAGAAGACAGTAAACAGTGTGACAGGGACAAAACCTCAGATATCAAGATTAACCTTGGATATAACTGGATTAAATGCTTCACTTAAAAGATACAGATTGCCAGAATGGATTTTTAAAATTATTTTATCTGGCATTTTCCAATAACATTGGTAGTATTTTTTTTTAATTATACTTTAAGTTCTGGGGTACATGTGCAGAATGTGCATATTTGTTACATAGGTATACATGTGCCATGGTGGTTTGCTGCACTCATCAACCTGTCATCTACACTAGGTATTTCTCCTAATGCTACCCCTTTCCTAGCCCCCCACCTTCCAACAGGCCGTGGTGTGTGATGTTCCCCTCCCTGTGTCCAGGTGTTCTCATTGTTCAACTCCCACATATGACTGATAACATGCGGTGTTTGGTTTTCTGTTCCTGTGTTAGTTTGCTGAGAATGATGGTTTCCAGATTCATCCATGTCCCTGCAAAACATGAAATCATCCTTTTTTATTGCTGCATAGTATTCCATGGTGTATATGTGCCACATTTTGTTTATCCAGTCTGTCATTGATGGACATTTGGATTGGTTCCAAGTCTTTGCTATTGTGAATAGAGCTGTAATAAACATAAGTGTGCATGTGTCTTTATAGTGAAATGACTTACAATCCTTTGGGTTTATACCCAATAATGGGATTGCTGGGTCAAATGGTATTTCTAGTTCTAGATCCTTGAGGAATCGCCACACTGTCTTCCACAATGGTTGAATTTACGCTCCCACCAGCAGCATAAAAACGTTCCTATTTTTCTGCATCCTCTCCAGCATCTGTTGTTTCCTGACTTTTAATGCTTGCCATTCTAACTGCTGTGAGATTGTATCTCATTGCGGTCTTGATTCGCATTTCTCTAATGACCAGTGATGAGCTTTTTTTCATATGTTTGTTGGCCACATAAATGTCTTCTTTTGAGAAGTGTCTGTTCATATCCTTTGTCCACTTTTCAGTGGGGTTGTTTGTATTTTTCTTGTAAATTTGTTTAAGTTCTTTGTGGATTCTGGATATTAGCTCTTTGTCAGATGGATAGATTGCAAAAATTTTCTCCCATTCTGTAGGTTGCCCGTTCACTCTGATGATAGTTTCTTTTGCTATGCAGAAGCTCTTTAGTTTAGTTAGATCCTATTTGTCAATTTCGGCTTTTGTTGCCATTGCTCTTGATGTTTTAGTCATGAAGTCTTTGCCCATGCCTGTGTCCTGAATGGTATTGCCTAGGTTTTCTTTTAGGGTTTTTATGGTTTTAGGTCTTTAACTCTTTAATCCATCTTTAGTTAATTTTTGTATAAGGTGTAAGAAGGTTTTCTGCATATGGCTAGCCAGTTTTCCCAAGAGACTAGGATTGCAACCCCTGCTTTTTTTTTTCCTTTCCGTTTTCTTGGCAAATCTTCCTCCATTCCTTTATTTTGAGCCTATGTGTGTCTTTGCACATGAGATGGGTCTCCTGAATACAGTACACCGATGGGTCTTGACTCTTTATCCAATTTGCCAGTCTGTGTCTTTTAAATGGAGCATTTAGCCCATTTTCATTTAAGGTTAATATTGTTATGTGTGAATTTGATCCCGTCATTATGATGCTAGCTGGTTATTTTGCCAGTTAGTTGATGTAGTTTCTTCATAGCGTAGAAGGTCTTTACAATTTGGTATGTTTTTGCAGTGGCTGATAGCGCTTTTTCCTTTCCATATGTAGTGCTTCCTTCAGGAGCTCTTGTGAGGAAGGCCTGGTGGTGGCAGAATCTCTCAGCATTTGCTTGTTTGTGAAGGATGTTATTTCTCTTTCACTTATGGAGTTTAGTTTGGCTGGATATGAAATTCTGGGTTGAAAATTATTTTAAGAATGTTGAATATTGACACCCACTCTCTTTTTGTG